TTCTGCAATTGAATTGTGATATGCCTGGATGTTGGTTCTTTTATTGATCCTGTTTGGCATTTGTTGGATTTTTAGTGCTGGAAAATTCTATCATCACCAGCCAAATCTTGCCTTGCCATCATTTATCTATTTTCACTTTCCAAACTGAAAAGCTGTACGTTTGTTGGACCTTCTCAATCTGTCTTCATTCACCTTGACTGTTTTTTCATAGTTCCTGTGCCTCTGACTCCCTGGGCTGTGGTCGGGGTAATTTTCTTGGTTCCGCCCCATAGTTTATTAATTGTTTGTTATCAGTGACTCATTAGCTATGTAGTCATCTACTGGGTTTTTTCTTAACTAAACTTTCCATTCCAGCAATTTCTAATTGGCTGAATTTTTCTTAACTATGTCTTCTTGTTTTATAACCATCTAGTCTTTTTTTTTTCACAGTTACTGCTATTGTTTCACATATACTAGTGTAATTTTTATGTCACAGAGGCTTTAGCAACCCGTTATTTCGAAATCCCTCTCAGTCTGTTCTATTATCTCCTGTTGGTGGAGTCTGTTGACTTATTCTCAACATTGGAATCATGCATAACTGTGGTTCTGGAAGTCACCTTTCATGGGGTGTCTTTTTTTGAAGCCCTGAGCTATGACAAACTCCTTGAGGAATGGACTTTGTACCTCTTGCACTCTTATTTTTTGCTGTTCACCATTTATTCCTAAATTTCAACTCTTTGTGAGTTTCTTGTTTTGTTTTTTAGCTTCCTTGTTTGTTTTGCTGCAATGGATCCTTAAGTAATTTGCACAGGGATCTGACTTTCTCATTCCTGGCCTGTCTGAAAATGTCCATATTTTAACCTCATTCTTGACTGGTAAGTTGAATCGACATAGAATTTTCTCTTCAGCATTTTGAAGATGTCATTTCATTGTTTCCCAGTTGCTGTTGAAGCTGGTGAGAAGTTTGCCATCAACTGGATTGTTATTTTGTAAGCAATTCATGTTTTCCCTCCTGTAGCCTCTTTATTTTCTCTTTATCCATAATATTCTGCAATTGAATTGTGATATGCCTGGATGTTGGTTCTTTTATTGATCCTGTTTGGCATTTGTTGGATTTTTAGTGCTGGAAAATTCTATCATCACCAGCCAAATCTTGCCTTGCCATCATTTATCTATTTTCACTTTCCAAACTGAAAAGCTGTACGTTTGTTGGACCTTCTCAATCTGTCTTCATTCACCTTGACTGTTTTTTCATAGTTCCTGTGCCTCTGACTCCCTGGGCTGTGGTCGGGGTAATTTTCTTGGTTCCGCCCCATAGTTTATTAATTGTTTGTTATCAGTGACTCATTAGCTATGTAGTCATCTACTGGGTTTTTTCTTAACTAAACTTTCCATTCCAGCAATTTCTAATTGGCTGAATTTTTCTTAACTATGTCTTCTTGTTTTATAACCATCTAGTCTTTTTTTTTTCACAGTTACTGCTATTGTTTCACATATACTAGTGTAATTTTTATGTCACAGAGGCTTTAGCAACCCGTTATTTCGAAATCCCTCTCAGTCTGTTCTATTATCTCCTGTTGGTGGAGTCTGTTGACTTATTCTCAACATTGGAATCATGCATAACTGTGGTTCTGGAAGTCACCTTTCATGGGGTGTCTTTTTTTGAAGCCCTGAGCTATGACAAACTCCTTGAGGAATGGACTTTGTACCTCTTGCACCCACTTCACATCCTTTTGATTCACCTGCTACTCCAGCCACTGCTGACACAACTAGCTGTGGCTGGTGGACCTGAGACCACTGGTCTTCAGCTGCTGCAGGCATCTCTTGCTTTCTGCCACTCTGCATTGGACACCTGCAGAAACTCACTCATCCTTTCCAGTCCATGCACCAAGCAGCTAGTGTGAGGGAGTTAACATCCCATGAGGCAAATCCTAATAAATTGGGGATGGAAGCCAATGGATAAATACCATGTTTTTCTTTCCAACAGGCAGCAGATCCTAAGGTACATTCTTCACGACCTCTCAGTCTTCAGGACTGAGCCCCTGCTGCTCACACTAGGGACCAGATCAGTGACACACCAATGGATTGGCTCTCAGGTGACTAGCCTGGACACCACCAGCAGCCTCCTGGCCTGAGCAAGCTAATCACCTGGGATTGGGTGGGCCATGGGGTGTGGTCAGTATGGCCACCTGCTCAGTGTTCAGACTCCTCTCCATCTGTGCCTCCAGAAGGTACCTGCAGGCCCCAAGACTGTAGCCTCCCATTCAGTCCCGATCTGAGGCACAGGTGGGAAGAATCTGAAGACAGTTTATTTGGAAACCACCTTCCAGGACACAGAAAAATCTCACAGTATTTAAGCAAGGCAAGGAGTTGTGAGTCATTTTTTTCTGAATATCAGTTATATTTCTTCCATACACCCATTGTCCATTTGACCCTCAAAAGCCCCCTGGGGTAGGAACTTTCTAGTGATTTTCTGACTGTAGAGAAGAGACTCAGAAATCTGTGACTTTCCCAAGTCCTGTGGGTAAACCAGAGGTGTCCTGTCCGTGCTCCCTCCATCAGCTGAGGCCTCCTTCCTCTCTTAATCTCCAGAAAGGACGTGTCCAAACTCTATGTCCAGCCCTGCACTAGGGCAGGCATATGATGCGGGCCCTTCCCACCGGGAACGTGCGGTCTGATTGGAAGGAAAAGACTTGCATGCACAGCAAAAGTACTTGCAAGTCTCACGTTTTTAAGAGGCAAAATGCACGTGGCCTCCTCTGGTTTAAGTTGCTAGGGAAATATCTGAATGCCTGGTGGCTCACAGTGGAGGTGGCCTTGGGAAGTGCCTGTGAACTGTCTTTGGGGGTTGATTCTCTCAGGTCCCAAGATGCTTCAAGGGATTTCAAGGTATTGCCTTGCTTTCCTTCTTAAATGAGAGAGGCTGGGTGAGAACAAGCTCACTGATAAGAGGGCAGGACCACAGGGCAAGGCTGGCTGCTGAATGAGCAGAGGCAGACACAGACCACATCCAGAAAGAGATTTTCAAGGTAGATTTTAAGAATAAAGATAAAATGCAGCTCCAGCAGCTGTTCTGCGCAGCGTTGACAGGAGCCTGGAGAGGTGGTTATTTAAGCACTCGAGAGAGACTAGGGCTTAAGTCTAATCTCTGTGCTGTGCTCAGACTCCTAGCAAGCTCAGCACTGTGGGCCACGGGCATAGGCCAGGGCACAGTGGCTGCCACCACCCAGGCTACAAGCTTGGGATGAGTGGGAACCCAGCCACACCCAGGGCCCAGGCCAGCCTAGCCTGGCAGCCATACAGCGGCATACCTTGGCAGGTAAAAAGCTCCCTGGGAACAGGTAGGTCCCCCTAACCCCCAGAGCGGGTGGCATACCTGGATGCCACCTGGAGCCTCTGCCCGGGACTGGTGCTGAGTGAGATTTTAAGAGACCAAATTCCTGACTGAAGTTATCCTTTGAGCCCAAAGCACGTTGCATCCATCTCTGTTTTCTAAAGAACCTGATGGCTGTCTTTAAAGTGAGAGTGAGGGTGTGCTTGAAAGACAAGGAGGAAAGGACAAAACAGCCTTTCAGAGAAAGAATCCTGGGGCAGTCTGGAGAAAAGAGGAAATAAAAGATTCTTATGGGTCCCAAGAGACAGAAGATCATAAAAATCTGCACTAAAGTTCTCCCAGGACTCCTTAGTGAGAGGGGCACCCGAACCCTACGGACAGCAGAGAAAAGCATCTAGAGGGCTGGTCAGATTACAGGCTTGAGCTGGTGCTGCTGAATTGCAAAAGAGAGGATGCTTCATGCATCTGCCACCTGTAACCTAGGGTTCCCTGACCTTCTGCTAGAGAAGGTCAAAGGGGACTATGTCGGGAGGTGTCTGGAGCCCAAGAAAGAGCAATAAGAGACAATTTCAGTCTGTTTTGTCCTGAGGCAGCCTGAGTGAGACTGTTTGTAGCCTGCCCCTCACACCCTTCAAAGGGAGGGGCCAAAAGAGCTTGTTGAGCTGTCTGGCACCTGACAGTGGGGCAGCAATGGGCGCTGGCCTCCCAGGCAGCTTCTCGATCACTGGGGGGATGACTGTATCTCCACTTCCAGGAGACTAGCTCAAGGTCACGTGGGCAGAGTCAGCACTTCACACCAGCCTGCCATTAGCCGCTTCATGGGAACTGCCCTGAGTTCTTACCCTGTGCCATTCTCCAGCAAACCCTGACTTCTGCTGTTATTGTACCTGTTCTCACCCTGATCTTTCTCAGTCAGGACAAAGGCTTGAATTGGGGAAAGAATCAATTACGTTTTTCCATGAGGACACACACACACACACACACACACAAAAAATGTCCTCTGAATATGTTTTAATAATTAGACCTGCAGATTTTGACCTTGAAAGCTCTGTTTTCTAAGACATGAGCAGATGAGAATTTTAAAAGAAAGCTGGCTACCGTGAGCCCAGGTGGATTTGGGGCCCCCTCTGAATTGTGGGTGATGCTCCCTTGCTCTGGCTGCCCCCTCCTGGGTGCAGGGTGCTGGGGGTTCCCATGAAGCCCTGGTACAGCCAGGAGGCCAGTTTCCTGTGAGAGCCCCTCGGGGAGTCAGGACCCTCCCTGGGGTAGGTTCACATCAGAACCTCAGACAACTGCAGTTCTGTCTTTTCTTCCCACCTGCAATATTATAGTAGGGAAGCCCCTCCAGTCCCCTGCAGCTGGGCTGGGAAAGGCCCGCAGGGCCCCAGATCTGAGCCCTGCTTTGCATCCAGGAGGCGGAACCAGGGTGTCCTCACTCCCGTGTCAGGGCTGAGTCAGCTGGGATGGCCGAGAACACAGCGCACTCGTGGCCAGCGCTGTCCTGTGAAAAGGTCACCCATGTAATTGTGTATTTCTAGTAGCCTTAGTGCAGGAGGAAAAAGAAACAAGGGGGATTAATTTCACATTGTATTTAATTCAATGCATATACATATTATCAGGTCAACATATAATCAATATAAAAATCATGACTGATTCTTTTCTTTTTTCCACATGAAGTTGGTGGAATCTGGTGCCACTTACACCGAGGGCATATCTGAATTCCACTAGCCTCAGATCATGTGCATAGGTCAGGGGCCACCACCTCGGCCTGGAAAGCCCCAGAAGATGCTGCTATTACTATTCCACTGATGCAGTTGTTTTCCAAGGGGTCCCCTGGCCTTGACCTTCCAGGAAGTCCTGCTCACCACTTTCTCTGGCCACAAATAGAAGAGAGAGCCCTGCCCCAAGGTCAGTGATGCACATTTGCCTGCTGCTGTCTCAGGGACACCTGGGCAGAACCTTTAAATTCCTGTCCTTCCCGCATAGTCAGATGCTAAGTTTATTAGACCACAAAGTCCTCCTATCATGAAACACCTGCTAATATTGCACAGACTAGTGCTGTGGAGCACACTTAAGGAGTGTGTGTGTGAGGGGAGCAAGGGTGGGGAGAGCTCTCAGTGAACAGGCTGGTGCTGCCTCATCGTTTTACTCTGAGAGCCCTGAGGTGCGTCTAACAACAGAGCCCCGACTTCCTCCTCCCACAGGCCTGAACTGGGCTTCCCTTTGGGTCGGGTGCTGTCCGAGGTGCTGGGGCACACTGGCGGATGCCCTAGAGAAAGCCCCTGCCCTGCCCTCATGGGGCGTCCGGTCTGGCCAGGGAGATGGGTGACTGTGAATACATGGTGCAGTTATTTCATGTGCATGGACAAGAGCATCGAGATTTCTGGAAAGGAGGTGGGGCCACTCCTTCACACCAGAGAATCAGGACGCCCCCTTCTGTGAAGGTTAATTCAGGCAGGCTGATGACAGGTGTGGGGGTGGGAGGGAGGGGACATCTGGGTACAGGTGCTCAGGAAGAGGGCACTGCGGGTCCAGAGGCCTGGAGGAGGGAGCCCGGGTGGCGGAGGCTGTGCTGACAGGGCTGGTGGACCATTCCTGATGCCCCAAACCACTCCCCCAGGAGCACCACAGGCTCTGGGCTCCCTCTTCCCATCTCCTGGCCCCCAATTACCCCCTTTTTCCAGACAAAGCAATTCAAGTGGTTTGGAAGCCAAATCAGAACCTCAGCCCTGGGAAGCAGCCCTGCGTGGGGGAAGATCTGAGCAGAGGCCTCCCTCCCGCCGCTGTCCCGAGCTCCTCCCGGAAATCATAGTGGCTTCTCTGCAGCGCTCTTTTTTGCACTGGAAACTGTCTTTGGTTCCTAATTTTCATGTTTTCCTGATATACATATTGCATAATCTGTGTATAAATTAATATATATATAATTTATATCAGATATAAATGATCTATCCTTACACTTGGAGTTTACATTGTACCAAGCATTGCTGATCCTGTCTTTATATAAAATTTTGATATTTAAAATAAAACATTTATTTTGATATTTATTTACTTTTTCATGTATTTTGATTTCATAAGACATTGCATTAAATAGTTATTTTGGCTCCCGTTTTGCATTTCCTTCTGAACTTTTCTACCTGAGGTGAGTACTTGATCCACCTCGCCCCAAGCCTGGGCCTGCTTGTCAGACTGTTCCCTCTGCTGATTCATTTAATCCACGGTGCTGTGGGCCAGGTGGCAGCCCTTGGGGAGCCACGAGGAATGGACCTGCGGGCAGGGTCCAGTTCTGCCCCCAATTTGCTGTGTCATCTCTGCGCTCACCTCTGACCTTCTCTGACCCCAGGTCTTTCATATGTACCAGAGGAGCTTGGTCACAAGAAGTTGCTGCTGACTCCCTCAGGATTCTGCTGGGCTGTGCTTCAGCGGTCACCTCGAGTTGAAAAGGTCAGGTTGGTACTAAAATTGCACTTCTACCAGAGAAACCTTTCCTGTGGCTGGGCTTGATGTTGAGTTCCTACCTCTGACGTTGGGTTTTAAGTAAAGGTTCTGCTGTAACGATGCTGATAATATACTGGCGATGATGGTGAGATTATGGTGATGACAGTGATGGTGACGGTGTTGGCGGTGCTGCTGCTGGTGGTGACGGTGCTGGTGGTGCTGGTGGTGACAGTGACGGTGACGGTGCTGGTGGTGCTGGTGGTGACAGTAGTGGTGAAGACGGAAATAAGGACACATCATGTCCTGTGAGTTTTAATCTGTCTCTTATAAATAAATGGTTTTGTTTTCAAGCAGGATATGCTGGTCCACTTACCATCTTGACAGTTTTACTATTTCCAAATAAGGAAGGTGAAGATGCCCCTAAGAAAGTGACTGTCATAAGGGATAATTAAGTGTGATTGAGAACATCAGTTATAAATCAGGGTGAATTCAGAATTTATCCCCTTTCTCCTCCTTCTCTTTTTTCTTTCTTGCTTTGGAGAAATGAGTCCTTTTACAAATATAGCAAATAGGCTCAACAAATGTGTGTCGATTGCTTACTAAGAAGCAGACGTCGTATTGTGCAAGTGGTTTTGACGTGCATTCACATGCAGACATTAAGTTCAAACAATGTCCTCATTACTAGGCAGCATAATGAAGGGGCCTGCGTTGTTCATTCTTTTTCTCTCTGCTCCCCTCAATGGCTGTGTCATTGCTCACAAGGCCTCACCCGTGGCCTTTCTCTGACCTCCTCTGGTCTTCTTTTAAAAGCGAGGACGTGCTTCTGGGTAAGAGGCAGGGGAGAGATCTCCCAACACCAGTCCTGCGTGATCACCAAGACTTGCCTCAGGGTCCAGCAGGACCCAGTACTTGGTGTCCTCAGGCGGCCACGAGAGTGTCCCTGAAGAGACAGGTGTCTGGGGCACCTGGTGTCTGCAGGGCTGAGTGGGCCCAAAGCAGAGGCTGTGCCAACCAGGAAGTGAACAGCAGTTCACCTCAGGATGCATTTGGCCCCACATGTTCCCTCTGACTAGAGGCTCAGGATGCCTTACATGGTACCCTGTGCTCCTCTTGGGCTTCATTTAAAATGGAGGCAGATATTGATGGGAGCTCCGTTCTCCCAGCACTGTGGTTGACTAAGAGCCTCTACCCAGAGGTTGGCAGCAAGCTGGCAGGATGCAGTGGGGGCACCTGAGTGTTAGTGTGGGGAGTGTGGCCTGGAGACCTCACCCTTCCCAGAAGCTCCTACGTGTGCTGGCTCTGCACGTCAGCTGTAGAGGACACCCGGGCGTCACTTTGCAGGGGACACTGGCAGTTTGGGAGGCTCCGGCCAGGGACTGTGGGAGGTTGTGGAGCAGGGCGGGGAGCGCAGGCTGGGAATGGCTCAAGGCTCTCCACCCACTGATCAGGGTCTTTAGGGACTTGAATGGACAATCCTGTGCATTGTGGGAAGCCCTGTGTTTCTCCCAGGGAAAGCTCAAGCCCCAGGACCCATCCTGCCCCCCCAACTCCCATTCTGAATATTTCTGAGGTCGGGCAGGGGTGTAGCTGTGCTACTGGCTGCCTTTAGGAGACACCCATTGCCTAGTTTAGTATTTCTGTCCATGGGGCATAACTGCAAAGCATAGTGGGAAAGGCCGGTGCCCTCGAACCAGACCGTCTGGCCCCCTCACTTGCTGGCTGTGTGGGTCTGGGTCCGTCGCTGGCCTCTTTGCCTGTTTCCTCATTTGTGAAATGGAGCGATCGGAGCCTCCACTCCAGCGGGGTGTGCTGACTGCTCAGAGCAGATCACGCCCCACGGGCACATCGCCTGCATGGTCACCCAGGCCCTTGCTTCCACAAGGTTAATGCTCTGCTCTCACAATCTTAAAATTCTTAAAAAGTTTTGAACAAGAGGTGCTGTGTTTCCACCTTGCAAATTATGGAGCTGGTCCCCATTCAAAGAGTGAATGTACATACAGTGCGTGGCACTGGCCTGACACAGGGGGAGCCCCTGTCTCTCAATAATCGTCTTCACGGTTATCCCAGGGCAAGGCACCCAGTCATCAGTGGCCTGCGGCCCTGTGCACACAAGGGAGAGATGGGGCACTAAGGCTGCTCCGCCAAAGGTCAGAGGGCTCTGCCTCAGTCACTGAACAGGAAACAGCAAGTGTTCAGGCCAGAGAGGCACCCAGCCGCAGTTCTGAGAACTGGAGGCAGTCACGGGCTTTTGGCCGAGCGCGTTTGCATGGTGTTTAAGAATATGTGCTCCCAGGTGGAGTGTGGGAGCGGTTACGGTTTGGGTCCAGAGGAGGCCGAACAGTGCTGCCTGCTTCTACCAGACCTATCTCATAAGACCAGACCGGGGGCTGCTGACGCAGGCTCAGAGGGTCACCTTCCACGGAAGGCTCTGCCTCACCATGTGGGGCAGCAGCTGCTCACAGGGCGCTTTGGGTGTTTTAGGGTGAGATTCATCCTCTCACGACACTCCCCTGCAGCAGGGCCTCGGCTAGGGAGCAGCTGTGGGAGGGGTCGCAAACTGCAGTATGTCCGTGTCTGCACCCTGAGTGGGGCTCCTGGGGTGCACACCCCCGATCAGCTCCCTACCTCTGAGCAGGGCAAAGTGGACGCTGAGCTGGGATGGAGCTGCTGTTTGCAGGGACCAAGAACCGTGAGACCTCAAGTCCCAAACCTGGCCTTCGGCTCTCCTTGCCCCTGGACAGAGGGTGCCTTACCCCTGCCCTTGCTGGGGGACCACTGGCCAGGTACCTACGGCAGGGCACTGGACACGTGCAGGGCAGGGAGCGAGGGAGCCTGCCCATCGACAGGCCAGGTAAGCACGCTACCTTCTGCGGCCCACTGGCTCCTGGGTGCAGAGTTCGGATGCTTACCAACCAGGCACTTCTGCTCACCCCTGAGAGGTGAGTTTCACCTCAAATTCTTGCCCAGCCTGTCATGGCCAAGTGGGACCTCTCCGGTCCCGTGGTGGCTGCGGCGTCCTCAGGCTCCCCTGCTGCCTGTCCGGGACATGCTGGCTCTATCTCAGGTGCAGAGTTGGAACTTTCGGGCCCTGTCAGTGTGGTCAACATGCAGGATGCTGTAGTGACAGCCCCCTGCTTAAAATGCACTGCGCATTCCGAACAAGGGGCGCAGGAAACCCTAGGGTTCCTGCTCCAGCTGGCTGCTCCTTTTGGCCTCTCTTTAAGGTAAAGTTTAAGGTTAAGTCGTGCTGAAGATCCGACAAGCGGAGACAGTGTCCTAATAAGAAGAGAAGTGTGATGCGCAGGGCAGGAGAAGGTTCTGGGCAGCCTGGGCTGAGGTGGGAAGCTTGCAGCAAGGACCACTTCTCCCAGCTCACAGCCCCTGGTCCTTCACACCCAGAGCCCAAAGAAGGAAGCTGCTGTGGAAGGACTGGCTGGCCAGGGCTTTGCAATGAACTATGGGGAGCCCTTTCTGCATGCCCCGGAGGACTCCCTTCTTCCTGTTCTTGTAACTGGCCCTTGTGAAAGAAAACCCAGGCAAGAAAGAGGCTGCAGAGTACGGATATTTGGAAAAGTGCTCTAGGGAACGGGCCAAACAGAGGGCTCAGACTCTGAATAGTGAGATTAGCCCCGAGGGACTTCCTATTCTATAGATTAGAAGTATTTTGGGGGCTTAGGCATGATTTTGTTTGGCTGTGGGCTTTCATCTTTTCCGTGTTCAAGAAGTGTTTAGCATGCCTCAAGCAGAAACGTGTCTCCGTTCTGTCCTGTTTGCTGACTCACTCTCATAACAGAGGGCTATCTCCATATCTGCATTTAGGTGGAAAGAATGGATTTAGCAAAGACCGGGCCCTGGGTTGGGCATTGTGGGTTTCACAACTATGCACACATGAGCACTGTATCTCTCCAGGATGGCATTTCTCAAGATGGTGTTAAATTAGATACACCTTGCACATTTCATGTTCTCTTTTTCTGTTTACCTTAGTAAGGTGCCAGGCACATAGGAGGTATTCAATAAAAGGCCCTTGAGTTGAACCAAGTCTCAGTGTAGACACATCCCCTGCCCTAGAGAAGCTCAGAGTGAGAATGGTTTCTTGGAGGGATGGTTCACAATGAATGAGTGACATGTCACGGAGTTGAAGAACATGGCCCTCGGGCAGGGCAAGCCCGTCCGGAACACTGGCCATTGCTTACAGCATGGCAGGTTGTGCACATGGTGCACCCCGGCCAGCTCCAGGCTGAATCCCAGAGCACCAGTGTTTACATCCATAAAATAGGTGTGATCCCATCTCGCCTCTTGCACTGGAGATGGAATGAGATGTTTTTAAAGTGTTCAGCAGAGCACCTGGCATTCAGTGAGCTTGGGCCAAATGGTAAAGAAAATAAAGGGAGCTGAGTTATACACTGTGTTACAATTAGATAAAATAACCAAGCTCAGCACCTGAGTTGGCCTGGGACTTTGCTAACTGCTTAGTCTCTCTGAGTCATAGGACACTGTTTCACATATGGTTTAATTTGCTTTGGAAAGTAGCAAGTAAAGGCATCGGAGTTGACGGTGAAATTGATTTTCCGCAGTGCCAAAGTGACTCTACTCCTGATACTGGTGGAATATTAAGTACTCAGAAAGCTACAGTGAAGAAAATGAATCTTCTATCAACTGACCACCAAGAGATACCCATTATTAATATTTCAGTTTCTTCCCTTCAATTTTCCAACCAGGTACAACTTCTAGTCTGTGTTTTCCCTTACCATTTTTAATGGCTAATAGTGCACTGTCTGGGAAAAGCACACTTTCTAACCTTCAGCCTCATGGAAAACAGGTGATTTCCATGGTTGCCATTTCAGTGCACAGAGCATGTTCTGTCCTTGATGGCATTTCCTCACATCGTTATACATTTCCTTAGATCCTGAGTTAAATAGTGAAAGGACTTAAAGGCTCTTGGAACCCACCGACAATTTGCCCTCTGAAGGTTGTGAAACTACAGACTAGAAAACATTTCTTTTTTT